CAAACATACCATAAACTCAATGGTCCCTTAAGTTTGTAAACTTATACAATTATAACTATTACTTTTCGCGGTTTGGCGACATGCCATTATAATTAGAATGTTGGGCTTTGTTAGACTAGTTCTACTTTTATGCAAATCTGGATAGAAGGCTTCAAACGAAATGGACCTAAAAGTAGGCCTAAATGAGTCCAAAAGGATATTGGGCACTTCATTGTTTATTCGGCCCTATCTACTCTCCCATGTCACTGACTCATCACTGGTTAGTCGGCTGAGACCTAAAATCCAATTTTCATGGATTCCAACCTTAAAAAAAAAAAAAAAAAGAATGTGAAGAAGTATAATATCCGTGAAATATCGGAAAGGAAAATGAATATTACTTATTCTATTGGCCAAATGTGTAAATTCCCTTAATGTTGTATCGAAGTAAATTATCACTTAAAAAATATTGATATAATTTGTTATCTCAAATTTTTATTTTTAAGAAATCAATCCAAATTTAATAGATTTTATTAAACTTCATTAAACTATTACTCTTAAAATATAACAAAAAGTTAACAATATTATTAAATTTGGATTGATTTCTTAAAAATAAATTTTTTTAAAATAAATAAATTATGTCAACATATTTTAGATGACGATTTGCTTTAACGCAATAATTTTGGAAGAGAATTTGCACCTTTTGTCATTCTTACACATAGCACAAGAGTTTATTCCTTTTACACCAAATTGGACAGAATAACATGTTTAGAAGATTGGAAATTTTTAGTTTTCATTTATTTTTTTAGAAAATTTAAGATAGATGATCGAAGTCCACAGATGGTGGGGAAAAAAGGGAAAAGGGAGAGTTAGGAGAGTGGAATATTTTATGTTATGTAGGCTGGAGACGAAACAAAAAGAATGCGAATATACATACTTTAAAGTTTAAACCCTTGGAAGTGAGCAAAATGGAAATGTGCCTTACGGATTATTCTATTTCAATATACCAATTTTACGAATATTAATCAATCATTCAAGATGGGGTACGGGCATCTCTCACCAAGTTGTGATTTTTCAACTAACAAAAGCCAATAGGCATGATTATATTCTTTGACTCAATTATATGCCAAATTGCCTAAATATTTACATACATCATGTATGCTTTTGTACAAAAGATCAATGCATGCCATTAAGTGTTTAATCATTTTAGTATGAATGATACATTTCCAATAACTTTAAGTGGCCCAAAAGTTCTTTTAGTGAAAGCAAAAGTTAGAAAAAAAAAACAAAAACAAAACTATGAATTATTCATTATGGTGATTTAAATTTAAAAATTAGTATTGGATTTTAATCACGAATTGAGGATAATAATTGAAACTGTTTTTGATATTGACATTAATAATTAAAACTATATAGTTAGAAAATCATTCATCTATAATAAAAAATTATTTTTTAGTAAGAACTATATTTTTTATGTAATTTGAGTACTAAAATTATCAAAATATCATTAATAGAACTGCCCTTAATATTTAATCATTAATGATGTTTTTGGTAATTTTAGTACTCAAATTGTAAAAAAAAAATCAATTCATACTAAAAAATGCCTTTCTTCATCTATAAAAGGCTGTAGTAAATTGTGACCTTCATTAGAGTGTGTTCGTCTAGCTACAGTTTTTGTAGAAGTAACGTTTAAATAAGATTTTTAAAGATTTGTTAAATCATGAATTTATATAAAATAATTACAAAAAAATATAAAAAAACTTATAAGCATTGTCAAATTTAAAAACTTAAGCACAAAAATTTTACTTCAGAATATCCCATCCCCTAACCTCTTTCGAAGTTGAAAATTGCTTTAAAACATTTGCAAGAAAAATTGCATTTGCTTACTAACCTTATCTTCTACAACAAAAAACAAGGTATCTGTACAATTATATATGAATCATTCTGTAGTATCCGTTGCGTGCTGCTCGGAAAGTGAAACATTTGCCTTCTGTAGTATCGATCCGTTATAATTACTGAAACCTTTAATTATTTGTATTTTATCGCTTAATTAATAATTTGTCGAAAGAACTATGTAGGTTTATATGTAACTGCATTGTCTCTAGTTTTATAAATGGTAATTTCTTGGCTATGAGATTGTTAATGGAATAGATTGTAATACGTAGTGGGGTATACATACATTGATACATACAAACATCTCCATGATTATTAGATACTTGGATATATATCAATATAATCTAATTAAATTTTGCCACTAATGCTATAATCAAATTAAAAACGTAAATGAGAATGGAGATGGAGCCAAGGAACCTGAAACTATCAGAAAAAAGTTAATATTCTAGGGTTAATTAGTACTTGTCAATCAATTAAACTAATTTTAAATTGTTAGGTAATAAATATTACTTGTTTTATCAATTATTAAATAACTGCTACAGTGAAGAGTAAAATAACTTAGAAGTTAATAAGTTAAACATAAGCCCTACTCAAACCACAAAAGATAAAATAATAAAAAGACTTAAGAGCAAGATTGAAAAGGAGAAAAAAATATTCAAAAGACCTTACCATAGATCCATTGGTAGAGTAGAAAAAAAAAATCTTAAAGTTAGGGTTAAAAGAAAAAAGGCCCTACTCTTTATTTCTCCCTATTCCACCTCTTATTACAGTTATTAACTATTTCTAATAGCTAAACAAATTAAATAAAATCTCAGTTATCCATATAAAGAGATGTGGAACAAGTAAAACAGAACTATTTAATGAGAAGTCATTTTTCATAACTTCAATTCTCACACATATGTATCACTTGCTATTTAATTCCTTTTAGAGGATACATGGAATTAATTTCAGTGACTCAGATATATTGATTGTTACGAGAAGTAATTAGTATAGGATTGAAGCTTCACGTAACAGATGGAGATGCCAATGGACCATATATGGCCCCATACGGACGTGTAGCTGAATCAGATAAACAGGGAGAATAGAGAGTTGAATTAATGTTGATTACAGCTCCTCCTCAACCAGAGTCTTCCCATGATGACTCATATCCAACGGAATTTGAATCCAACTTTTTTTTTTCTTCTTGCCATGAATTTGAATCCAACTTTCCAGATACGTATATGCCCCACATAACTGTTGTGTTGGTGCAATTACTATTTTTAAAGAAAATCTTTAGTATTGTTTTTTA